TTTTCAAGCAAAATCGATTCAAGAATTTGAGTGAACTTCACAAGGAATGGACTGAGGCTGGGGTCAAGGCATCAAGAGCCACCCCACACAGACGTGTCAAGGAATTTGGCTACAGTTGTCGTATTCCTCTTGTTAAGCCACTCCTGAACCACAGACAACGTCAGAGGCGTCTTACCTGGGCTTAGGAGAAGAAGAACTGCACTGTTGCCCAGTGGTTCAACGTCCTCTTTTCAGATGAGAGCAAGTTTTGTATTTCATTTGGAAACCAAGGTCCTAGAGTCTTGAGGAAGGGTGGAGAAGCTCATAGCCCAAGTCGCTTGAAGTCCAGTGTTAAGTTTCCACAGTCTGTGATAATTTGGGGTGCAATGTCATCTGCTGGTGTTGGTCCATTGTGTTTTTTGAAAACCAACGCCACTGCACCCGTTTACAAAGAAATTTTGGAGCACTTCATGCTTCCTTCTGCTGACCAGCTTTTTGAAGATGCTGATTTCATTTTCCAGCAGGATTTGGCACCTGCCCACACTGACAAAAGAACCAAATGTTGGTTAAATGACCATGGTGTTGGTGTGCCTGACGGGCATACACGACTTTCTGGCGAAAGTGAATCTAACCGATTGTGTGAAATGCGCTAGGCTGTACTATGCTGCATCAGTACAAATACATGCACGCGTTGCGCGTGTTTTGCTTGCTTGATTGTTTCTGCATTATATGAGTGGCTTTGGAATATAAATCGTAGCACGTTTCAGATGAAAAAAAAAAGCGACTTCTATTTCTGAAAATATCACAGTTAGGAGATTCATAACGAGTGGTTCCCTGCATTATTACAGCAAAGCGCGTGATTACAGTACTAAGCCGCTGCAATGGAGCAGCTCTAATGCTATTTAATTACAGATGATGTACCATAGAGCAAAAAAATTACAGTGAAAGTAACAAAAACTTGTAAAATAATTTTTTATGGGCATAATTAAGTGTAAAAATAAGAGAAGGATATACAGTCAAACCAAAAATTTTTCAGAGACCAGATATAATTGTTTATATTTTTTTACTAGTGGGTGCAGGACACTATAGTTCATTTATGTAAATGAGGATAGCAAAATAAAGTAAACTGTGACAAATTATGCCCAAAAGTTCTTTATACAATGGACTACCAGTAAAACTGATACAAATTTGGGCCCAAAAATTATTCAGACAACATTGAACATTGAAAAAAACAACAAAAAAAAACATTGAAGTTGAAGTTTGCATGAAGCTGGGTGACAGAATGCCCAGGAGACTGCAGGTTGTCATTAAGGCTAAGGGTTGCCCGACTAAGTATTGATAGTTGTGTAAATACTGTCATACTAACAGCTGTCTAATTTTTGGTTGATTGTAATCCATTACATACCTTTCTATCAAAGTTATC